GAGAGAGAGAGAGAGAGAGAGAGAGAGAGAGAGAGAGAGAGACTGCAGATTTACACTTAAAACACCTATTTGAAGGTAATTTAATATTTATTTAAAACATTTGTAATTCAGTATTTTTCCGCTAGGTGTCGCTGCTGTCACACATATCTGCCACTTCCTGTTCCTTAGTTCTCAATATTGTAGAGTGGGGCTCCAGAACATCAGCTGTAATGTGAAGCAGCCCTGAACTTCTGTGCGCTGTGAATCTATAACAGCTGTGTGATCACCACATCACAAACAAACAAACAAAAACAACAACATTACATCATCAAGAGCTTAGTTACAGCCATAAGGACCGCAGACATGACTCACACAAGACACTCAGGGATAAAACTGGACTTTCTGTTCCAGGCTAACCAAACCAAAATCCACAATGTCTTTATAATGCAGTAGGACTCAACATTACTGTACTTCCTTTTTATTATCACTCTGACATATGTGTCTATAGTTAAAACCCACAAAGAACGAAACAAACAAACACTTTGATTCTCTCATGGCTCCATGATCAGGACCCGTATTTAGTGGAGTTTTAGACTTAAATGTTGAAAATTTATTAAATTTACTCCTAATCTTAGACTGAAGTGTAAATGCCAGTTATAAGAATACTCTCCCAGATATTTAAGATATCTTTTAAAGTTTGGACTGAGAAGACAGAGATCACAGCTGTCCTCCTGAGTGTGATTCAGTTATAATACAGAGGAACTAACATAAGGTGTGGAAGGTTTAGTAGTAGTAGTAGTAGTAGTAGTAGTAGTAGTAGTAGTAGTAGTAGTAGTAGTAGTAGTAGTAGTTTATTCGTTTCATTTGTAATACAAAATTAAGAAAGTTCAAAAAAACATACTATCAAAATGAAATCAAATGAAATGAAAGGCAGCAGAAGAAGAATAAATCTTATAATATCTGCCCCTTTTTTATACCCAAAATGTGTTCAAAAGAAAAGTAAAATACAATAAAAATTCAAAACAACTTAAAACACTTAAAAATGAATTAAAAGAAAATTAAGACACCAACTCAAACAACAATTAGCATGAATTCACTTATAATTCTCCATATTTCTTCAGAATACTATTTGTCTCAACAAGGTTCTGGCATTTTTAATCTCATCTTCCAGACTGTTCCACAAACTTATTCCCTGGATTAGTGTTCCAGTACAAAAGAAAGAAGGGTAATAATAATATAAATTTGCACATTCATTACTCTGACATGGTTTTGGGGATCAGCCTCCACTACCACAACAGGTTTTAGCTCAATATCTGTAAAATTGACTGAGTTAAAGCTAATTTTGTGTTGTTTTGAAGTTGGCTGTGGCGGCCATCTTTAAGTTGAGCTGCTGGAGTCATCAGAAAGTCTACAAACCTGTTAGGTAAAAACATCAAACACTGCAAAAACTGTCCACCTAACCAAGTTTTAAAACCTTATATCAGGCAAAAAGTCTTTTTGATCTTGTTTTGAGACTGATTTACTAAAGAACTGATTGTGTAAGAATAATAATCTTGTTTTCAGAATGTGTAAGATTATTTGTCTTGTTAGTCTGAAAATTTGACTCAAATTAAGTCATAACTTTCTGCCAATGGAGGAAGAAAATTTTACTTGGTAAAGTTCTTTAGATAAGAAAAAAATTGAGTCAAATCAAGTATTTCAAGAATCTTACCAAGTAAAATTTTCGGTACCACTTTACAATAAGGCTCCCCTCATAGATGCTTATAAATAGTTTATAGATA